TGTAGGTAACCCACAATGTCAAATGAATACTTTTACAAGTATTAAACATTTGAAAGAAGAAATAGCAATTATAGTTATATTTTATTATTTTTTAAGCATGTAAGTAACTGCTTGATGTTTAAATCTAAAGAAAATATAACTACAAAAAAAATCCACGCGGGCCTTTAGGGCCGCGGTAGCATAATTGGTCAGTGCATTCGCCCGGATTGCGAAGGGTGCGGGTTCGAGTCCCGTCTGTTGCCCGGTCCGCGTGGATTTTTTTCTAGTTATATTTTCCTAGATTTGTTTCTTTTATTACATTTGACTTCTTTAAATTTCGTTAGTTAACTGCCAATTGCTCTCAATCGCTTTCCTTTAATTATAATCACTGTTTTAATTGACCGAGTTGTCAGATTTAGTAAAAAAATTGTTAAATCATAAATTTATTTCAAAAATTGTTATGTTAGATTTAATTCAAAAATTTTTACTTTTCAAAAACTTATATAGATTACATATCAGTAAAATTGACAGGCATGCTAGTTAAAATACGATTTGACCAACTCTTCAGAAACCGAGTGTAAATTTAATAACCCATAACCGTGTCTTCTCTCCAATGATATAAAATTAAGCCTGATTTTCATTAGTGATCAAATTCAACAATACCAGTTCAGTAATAAATATCATTTAATACCATTGACAAGAAAGCATAAACAGCCTTTTAACATTAATTCTCGTATATTCTCATAACCATATTGACTTAGAGAAAATGTCAAGGCTACCCATGAATAATTGAATGTATCGGATACTATTCTATTTGTGGTACATGATGAAAAATCGTCAGAAATTGATGTGGCCTATGTATTGTGACAGGCAATAAAATTGGTCTAGTACCCATTGGACCCTCCTAATTGGACCTTACCTACAAAAATTAGACTCTGCGGTGACAAGGATTCTAAGAATGCTGACTTTACTATAAGGCTGGGCGCATATGTGCGCATTCAGATTCGGAATTCCGTAAGCCTAGCACAGACGTTTCGTTTTTTTTTTAAATTAGGTAGTTTCCGACCTAATGTTCGGTTTTGTTCCAATCAGAAAAAATAAGTCGATGTAAGGACGTGCATTCAGGTTTCCGAATTGGAATTCCTGATCAATAAACCGTACATTATGCTCCCATCCTATGCGTCGAAGCGCGGTCCGCCGTGATGCGACCCAGTCGCACATAACACCGGTCCCGTCGGGTTTTTCTTTCAGTAAATTGATCTGTAACACATTAGGTAACAGACAGTTCAGATTTGAAGTAAGATTTCTTTGAACTGTACTTGTAACCACCGAACTACTTAAAACTGAAGGTTGCTCGATAGTCATTATACTAAAAATCACAAAGAACGCGTTTTATGAGGTAAATATGTTTTTTTAAATGCAAGCTATTAATACGCCATTGTAGTACACGTTACTGAATTTTCATTTCTTCTTTATAAATCTGTTATTTTGAACTTTTTTGTATTTATTTGTTTCTTAGGTTTTCACGCACATCACTCATTAAATAAAAAGGCTGCGAAACGTCAATAAATAAATAAAGTTTCGTGCATTAACCCGTAAAAACTAGTTTTATTTTTTGTATTTGTTTTATTTCAGTAACAAATTCCTAAATTAACTAAAAGGATAACGTTCATCTAATGTTATAGGCGGTATAAATGCGCCGGGTCAGCTAGTATTTAAATAAAATGCAACCTCTTCATGGCGTGCACGGAACTTATCGATTATATATTCATTTCATTGGGTAACGACATTGCGCGGCCCATCAAGGTCCCGCAAAACCCTTGGAAAATAATTAAGAAAACACGATAGGTGAAGGTGAGCAGAGCATATGGCTGACCTCAGAAATAGCTGAACACGTAAGTACCATGTCACACCACCAGTTAATGTGACACAGTACTGACTGCGTTATATTTTTGACGCGGTACGGTCTGACTGACCGGTACGGTACACATAACTTTATCAAACTTAATAAAACAGATTACTAGATATTAGATATGATTAGAGACCACATATCTACCGTAAATATGGATGAATGTAAGGTTGGGAAACCAAAAAGTAGATTGTAAATAACAAGCCACCCAGAAAGTTTTGCGAAAAAAAGTTTTTATGCAGAAGACACTGACCACTTGTAATTATTTTGAAACCCTCGATTATTTAATAGTAAAAATACCACTGTTCTATTTTCAAATTTCCCTCCGCATTTTTTCGAGAGCCAATAAAATGTTTCATGTCTCATTAAAAAATCTGCATCGAGAACATTTTCGTGCTATAATTTTTTACAATTTCTAATGTGCCTTTTCAATAAAAGCAGTTCGAAATTTTCATCTATATGAAGGATCTTCAAAAGCAACCATTTACCGCTGGTGTAGCGAGTTCAAACGCGGTCGTCTTACTTTGTGGGATGAACAAAAGAGTGGTCGTTCTACGCCGGCTGGCACCGAAGAGAGTGAAAATTTTAATTCAAGAAAACAGACGAATTACGTACTAAGAGATACAGCATACTCTGCAGATTGGTTTAGGAAGTGTTCACAAGATTTTGCACGAGCACCTTTGCGTAAGGAGGATAGTTTCCCGCTGGATCCCGCACAACCTCACCGAAGCTCAGAAGCAGGCCCGTGTGGATTGATGCAGTGATATGATACAAAAATTTGATGTAGACTCGTCACGGCGTGTTTACGATATTGTTACAGGTGATGAATCCTGGATTTATTAACACGATCCAGAAACAAAGCGCCAGTCGACAGTTTGGCTGTTTCAAAATGAACCAACGCCTACGAAAGTGAAGCGATCGAGGAGCGCAGGGAAAATTTTGATCGCTAGTTTCTTCACTTTAACGGGGTACCTAATTTCAATTCCACTTCGAGACCAAAGCAGCATCAACGCCGAATGGTACAGCACAAAATGCCTGCCAGATGTTTTTTCTGCAATGAGCAACAAGCGACCTAACACCGGGCTCCGCGGGGTCCTTCTTCACCAGGACAACGCGCCTACGCACACTGCGATCAAAACGAAGGACTTCATGGACTCCACACCAGTCAGAGTCTTGGGACACCCTCCTTGCAGTCCTAATTTGGCTCCGTGTGACTTCGTTTTATTTTCTAAAATTAAAAACAGCTCAAAGGGATACAGTTTTCAATGCTGGACGAAGCGCTAGCAGCGTTTGAGAAGGCCGTGGAAGAGGTGTCTACGGAGGACTGGATAAAATGTTTTGAAAGTTGGTTCAGACGCATGAAACTTTGTATAGAGGCTGGTGGAGAGTTCTTTGAAAAGATTTAATAAAATTTTTTTTTTCATTGAAGTTAGTTTTTTAGTTTCTCAAAACTTTCTGAGTGTCCCACGTATATCCATAAAAATAAATTGGAATCCCGAAGGCAATGCCAAAAACACGATATCAAAAATCACAGTGCAGGTACGGCAAGATAAATAGCATGCCAAATAAATATTCATACATATTCTCGTAAAAATATCCCTCTTTCTGTTGCAATCGTGTAAAAATGTACACTGAAAAAGTCAATCACTCTTTACTTGGGTTTGAAATCTATTTTGTCAATTAGAGATTGATTGTTAACGTAGATTATGGTAGTTGGCTTATGCCTGTAATTTACAGGACTTATGAAAATTAGTAGCTAAGGCTTCGCAACAATCGTATGAAGTAAGTTCAGTATGACATAAATCATAGTCATGATTATTATCATTTTCACTTTCAACTTCAAAATTATTCAACTCATTCCATAAATTTACTTACGATAGTTGGTGAATGCCAACCAATTAGTAAGACACTCCCACTAGTCAGATTTGGGAATCGATTGGAGTTTGGCAAAGTCATTTATCACCTTATAGTTTCGCCTTTGATGATTTTAATGTCTTGTTCGAAGCTAGTTACGCGCGGTTAGGCATTACTTTGATTGATGATTACGCATTAAAAGTTTCGATTAAATCGGTATTACACCGAGATTATGAGTAAATTATCGAAGTGTTATTAATGATGAGCTCAGCTCAATCGGGAGCGTAAAATTTTAAAATGCCTGCGGTAGCTATTATTATAGGTAGTTAATTTTTATTAATGGATATTCGTTTAAGCTCGTTATTTCGCCCCTCATGGTGTAAAGTTTCACCGGGGTGAATTAATTTATAGAGTTTTGGTAACCACTCACAGTCAAAATTCATTTATAATATTTTCTAGACAAGGACCCTAATTCAAGCTACAAAAATTGCTATGCCCTTATTGTCACTAACCGCAGTTATATTTCCACTGCTATAGGCAGACCGCTTAACTGAGTCCTCGCCTGCGGGCAAATTCTTGTCAAAATTACAAGTGCCCGCCGCCCGCACCTCTTACGGTCCCCGCTCTCGTCCTCCCCCTCCCTTTACCCTCCTGACGAGGACTCAGTTAAGCGTTCTACCTATAGTTGATTTTGGTTTGACTCTTACAACCACAGATCGAAAGAACGAATCATGCCTTCTTTTAAATTTGATTATCTTAATTAATTAATTTATGTTGACGACCTCCGTGGTCGAGCGGTTTGTACGCCGGGTTTCATGGACTCGAGAGGTCCCGGGTTCGAATCCCGGTGGGGCAGATGTTTGTGTGATGAATACGAGCATATTTGTACTCCAGTCATGGATGTTTTATATGTATAAATATATTTACATATGTATTCTATCCATTACCCTAGTAATCCCATAACACAAGCCTTACAGAGTTTACTTTGGGTCAAGGCTAATTGGTGTGTGCTGTTAAAAAAAATATATGTATAAATTATCAGCAGCTTAACTCTGTTTTGGAACAAAATTTTTGGCCAAATTTAACAAAAAACAAAGTCATGATTGTTTAAAGTATCAAACTGTCTTAATCGGCTTAAGCTTAAAATAAATTTTGCAATTATTATTTTATTGATACGCTGCTGATAATTTAAAGTAAATAGTTGCTTTGCTGCAAAACGAAGAAAATTAGTTTTTTTGGTCGTTTCAAAAATACTCACCTTGCGCATTCAGTTCTGTTGCAGCTTTGGCCAAATCCCTCGTGGCGACTGCTGAAGAACAACTAGCTCTCCAACCGGGCGGTGGCTGACCACTTGACGATCTCTTATTCGATCCTCCCGAGCAGTAACCCGAACTGGCAGTATCACAGCTCACATTCACAGACTTTCTAGGACTCGCCTCTTTACTCGGACATATGTCGGCTAGCGACATCACAACTTCTCCACCAAACTCAGTCTCTTCCGGCCCGACTTCAGTAAAAGTACTGTAGTTCGGACTAATATCTGAAGGCCTTCGATCAGGATGCAGATAATGGGAATGGTGCGCATTATGGGACGTATGCTTTATATGAACCGAGTTCAAAAGTATGTTGGACGAAGTGCGCGTTAATGCTTCTCTTTGTCTAATCGCTTCTCTAAATATTCTGCAGTACATCGAAATCATTACTACGCTAGGTATCCAGAAAGATACACTTGAGGAAACTATAGCATACACTATGTTCACTTTGAAAATACACACATCGGGGTTAGCTTTTCTGTATTGTCTGTGCTGCTCTGTCGTGTACCAACCCATAAGTATTGGTACGAAGCTGATGAAGGCTGGCCACAACCAAACGTTTGCGAGCATGAAGCATACGGTTCTGTGGGTCATAGTAACGGGGTATTCTAAAGGCCTGACGATAGCATAGTATCTATCAACTGAGATACAGCATAAATGAAGGATGGAGGCGCTGGAGAAGTAGACGTCGAGGGAATTGTAGATATCACAGACCAGCGGGCCGAAGAGCCAATCGTCTGTAAGTTCTGAGCTGGCGTTGAACGTCATCGCGCATAAAGCAACGAGCATGTCAGCGACAGCAAGGCTGACGACGTAGTAGTTGGTGAGGACGCGAAGTTTTCTGTGTCGATGAACTGAGATGATGACAAGGGCGTTGCCAAATATTGCCCCGAGGATGACGGTAGCGAAGACGAGCCCCTTGAGAATGAGGAGAAGCGTGTGCTGCCAGTGGTGGTCGGGCGCGGCAGGGGGCGCCAGCGTCGAGTGGAGCTCGTGGAGAAACGCTGACTCCGTGCCGCGCCCGCGCAGTTCTACCTCGCCGCGCAGCGCGCCATCTACAAACAAATAAATCACGTTTACATACACCACAAACAAATATTTTTTTATTGATGTGTAACATCTTTCCTCTCGCTTTCGTGCAACTTGTGGGAGTGATAACGTGAAGTGGAACGGACGTGTGTACGTCAATAGGAAGTTTGGGAAGCGCGCGCTATTTGATTGATTGATTTGATTAGAACATAATGTTCAAATGGCTTATTCATTTTGTAGTAGGTTTTATTTCTTTTTTTACTAATATAAGGTGAGGTTTCAAATGTTACACATCATACGCGACTACTATAAGGCTCTCTCGTTTCTCGATGTGTAACATCTTTCCTTTCGCTTTCCTGCAATTCGTGGGAGTGATTTCGTGAAATGGGATGGAAGTGTGTAACAGGAAGTCGCGAAAGCGCGCGCTATTTGATTGATTTTATAACATAATGTTCAAATGGCGTATTTCTTTTGTAGTAGGTTTAATTTCTTTTTTTAATAATCTAAGGTGAGGTTTCAAATGTTACACATCATACGCGACTACAGTAAGGCTCGCTCGTTTTTTTAGAATATATTACAATTTTATTGTTGAATTGTCGTTTTCGATCCGAATCGAAATTGATTGTTGTATTTGAGTTGTTGACTAAAATCGACCTCCGTGGCTGAGTAGTTTGTACGCCGGGTTTCAAGGTGTCGCCGACTCGAGAGGTCCCGGCTTGGAATCCCGATGGGGGCAGATGTTTGTGGGATGAATACGAGCATTTGTACTCCAGTCATGGATGTTTAATATGTATTTCTATAAAAATATACTTATATATGTATCAGTATATGTATTCTCTCCGTTATCCTAGTATCCCATAATACAAGCCTACAGTGCTTACTTTGGGGCTAGGCTAATCTGTGTGAGTGTTGGAAATATTTATTTATTTATTGTTATCGACAGGTCTGACGTTCCACGCTTCCAGTTGATTACGATAATAACTGGGCTACTGCCCTTTCCGTTAATTTTTTTTGTCCGCATTATAAACTGGCATTATGTTTTCTTTACTTCAAGTCTGACATGAGTTTACTTATAATTACTTCATTGTTTCACAATTCCTCCCCTTAATTCTTATTCAAAGGCATGTTGATTTGTCTTGGGACACAAAATTTAATCTAGAGATAATCAAGTCGTTCGTGACTGAGAAAATTAAAAAAAAAATCCTTGAACAGTCTCAATTTAAAAATTCCGTCGATTCCTGGAAAGTCAAATCAAAGAATATAAAAAAGATACTAAATCTAATAATACCCGGTCCGTAATCCTTGTTTGATTTATTACCAGGCCAAAAAGAAATTAATCAAAAATGCCTCATTAACTCCGAGTCGAAGTTAAAGGGATCTGGAAGAATGGTCCTATCGTTAACAACGCACCAAATTTACGTTTGTGGGAACATTATTTTAATTTTGAACAGCCTTTATTAGAATGAAGTGGCACGCTTGCAATGTCAATAAAGACTTCTGCGACGAAAGTTCTTTGTTCTAAAGAAATTATTTTAGAAATTTTCTTTGAATGTTGTGCTGGTATATAAGATTTTTATTTACACTTTGATCCTTGTGTATTTAGATCAATAGCTAGTTTAAGTGTTGTTGTTACTTGAACAAATACGTGTACTGTATTAGTGTTAGGTTTTATAAAATTGCGATCCATTGCGTATTTATATATCTGAGCTTGAAGAAATTACACTTTACCATGTTCGCTAGGTGCCGTACTGAGACCATTTAAATTTTCGTGGCATGCATTTTTCGGAGCCCTCGAGTAAGATTGCGGCATTTTGTTTTAAAATGAAAAAAAAAACTTTAAACATTTAGTAGTTAAATGCTTAATGAAAATATGCATGCAAAAATATGTTTAAAAATAAAAATAAACATTAATTGATTGATGTTTATATAAAATAAATAAATTAAGTAGCAAGAATATTTATTGATTTACTTGGTTTAATCTCTCATTTTATAATGTACTTAATTAATTAATAGTATAATGGGAAATGATAACGATTTTCAGGAAATCATAATGTACGTAAACTTATTGAAATTTAAGCAACTTATGAAATGAGATTTCATCGTCTATCATAGGAGAAGAGGATAAGTATTTTGTAGAAGTCATTATAATAGACAGGGCCTCTGTTATTGCGTAATAAGGTGTGATTCCAACAACTGTGTGTGACTTCGAGCAAACAATAAAACAAATGATCTCATAAATACTTTAATTATTAAGCTACACTAGATACTAAAAAATAATATATTTTAAAGGTCTTCTTAACCAAATAATAACATGACCAACTTCTCTGATATAATCTTTACCTTACGTCGTTTCGTGATAATATATATTCGCTAAATTCTGTCGTTGCTGCTCCCAGACCGCAACTTAAGCTCTAGATAAAGCTGACTTCGAGTAAGCCTTAAATCCAAGCCTGACACATTTCCTACGGTAGTGACTTTGTTATACTTTAGCGTCTGTTGTGTTTAAATGAAGTTGATAAATCAGTTTATAAGGGACTTTATACTAAGGTTTTTGCTTCTCGAAAGCAATTTTCGTACAATAATTCATATTTCACCAGAATAAATATTGAGCACATTAGTGAGTAACATCTGGTTTGAAAGATATAAGCTATACATTATACTAAGTTTTACTCCCAAAGCTATTTTTAGAACGATGTTCCTTTATACTTGGCGGATGGGAGCTAGGTGGAAAAAAGTGTAAGAGTTTGCCGTCACAACACGTTTTTAATATATATAGTATTCCACGACACTCATGTTGGTTTCTTTTTTCTTTTATCGTTCGTGAAAAAGTAAGCGGCCTACGTAGACTGTACATGCTTGATACCAAAGTATTTCCGATACTCTGTCTACCCTAACCTTATCCCTTATCCCATGGAGCTCTTTTCCCAGAAGGGAAGTAAGAAAACAATCGATTCCTTCTTGCATCGATCTTCCCATTCTTTTTGAACACTGGAAGTTGTGATTACTAAAACGCCTTCGGTTTGATCTTTAAAGGTTCTCGAAACCTCTTTCGTTGCTTCTAGGCTCATTTGTGTTTATTACAACCACTTCATATGGCAGAACATGACCTTAATGTATCCTAAATGGTGTGGTTTACGGTAAAATTTCGCCTAGACGGGTAATTTTGGGTAATAGCCAATTCGGACGTTGGACCAAGACGCATCTGGCGATATCATTATGTGTGCGTACGTTGTTAGGGCAGTCATTTGTTTATATTAGGCAGTACTATATCTTGAGCATATAAGAGATGAGGAGGTTAATGGTGTAGTGGTTATCGCCTTGGTTCCTATGCTTATTCCACACCTACTCGACGAAGAATTGGTACTAAATGCGCTAAAATTAGCGTTTGAAATTTGAATTATAAAAAGAAATTGTCAAATAATCGCAAACAAGCTATCGTCTAGCGTCTTTAGACACGCAGCCCGATAATTTATTACAATAGAACTAATTCAAATTTCAAACGCTAATTCTAGGCATTTAGTATCAAAGCTTCGTCGCGCAGGGAAGAAGCACCAGAATAGAAAATTTCTACTACGTGCCTATTTAAATTCACGAGAGATGAAATGAATACCGAGGCTGGCGAAGGTAATTAAATAGTCTTTTGGGTTTTAACCCCTAAAAATTGAGAGGGGGAAAAATAAATGTACCACAAATGTGTACAATATTTTTCCGTGCCTATATTATCGATTTTCGAATTATTGCTTAGAAACGTTCACTTAGATTGATTAAATTTGATCAAAGTCGATGTCACTTTCTTTTTAATTACAATAGTATGCGTTTACATTATTAATTGAGTGATGTCTCGCTAAATTGGCTAAAACCTTTGACAATTTGAAGTACACATTGTTTTTTCCCTACCAAAGTAAATTTCTTACAGAACAAACTTTGTTTAATAACGAAATGTAATAAAACTGAAGCAACATAGGTAATGTTTCAACGAAAATCGATGTAAAATTGTTTTTGACCGTATCCAAGCGAAATTATGTTATGCTACGTAGGTACCTAGTCAAAGGTCAGCCCACAGTCCTAGATTGAAGTAGACGTCGCATGTTCTTCAAATTTTAATAGAAATCGAGCGTGTTAGATTTTGAGTACTCTCGATTACAAATAAATCAGGTCAGGCAGGTCACCTATTTTTTCCAGCTTATGGCATGCGTAGATAACGGTCTTTTGTCCCTGTATTATGAAAAAATTGTCCGCCGCGGACTTGTCACGGACTCGACGCACACGGTGTGCGGACATTTCGACGTATCCATAGAATAAAGCTACTTCTGCATAATCACAACTTTACAGTGGAGCGATTTTAAGTTTGTAAAATGTAAAATATGCTGTAACTTGTATTGGTATTTTTCTATCATTTTAATTTTTTTACTAATCATATAAAGCATTACGAAGCAAATTATGACTCATTTATTGTTTAAAAAAAACAACATTTACGGCTTATATTTCGTTATTTAAGAGTTTCTTATGTGATTATGTAACAATTTACTACGGACAACTTTATGTTACATATGCATATCAGACCTTATGCTTGGGAGACGTGTCAAATTATGTGTAGATTTAACTTTGTTTTACGTAATTTATATTTTCTGTCGCGTCACATTATAATAATATGGCAAAGATTGGGCAAAATCGATCAAACAAGAAAAATAGAATCAAACATTTAGTAAAAATTCTCAGTTTATAACAAAATTGAAGCCTGCACTGCGTTCTTGCCTATCCAAAAGGTTCTTGTGCTCTTGGCTCTATATTCTTCGGAAACAAAAATCACATGTACCTTTATTCAATTTCTATCTTCAAAGTTTTATAAGTTTTAGAATAAATGTTTTTACCAGTAAAACATATGCGTCCGTTTCGCCTAAAAGTACAATAAAAGCAATTTGGTAACATTTTCATATGTAACTTTATTCTGTGCATAGGTCGATTTAATTTTGTACCCCGAAAATTTAGTGTGGCTCACGCTATCGAAGCATAATTCTGAGATGACGTTGTATTGTAATTAATATAAACTTTAAAAAAAGGAGAAGACGTCCAAAAAAAGGATCTCTACATCGGATTGATTATTTATTTGTATTGTTGAGATTATTTACTATGCTTTCACTATAATATTGAATAAAACAATGTTTCACGATCTTTCTGAAAGATAATTAAATATAGTCTTTAAGCGTAAAGCGATGCAAAACATACTTCAAGTTAAATTAATCACTGAAATCACTTAAAATACAAAAAAAAAATGACGCTAAGTCACAATAAAAAATGTGATAACTTAATTTTAAGTTTTTAATTCCAGACTTCCAGACAATCTTCTTAATTATCTGATAAAACCATTAGGATTATTTTATTTCCATTTCTGATGATGAAATCTATAGACGCTAAAGAATTCCTTCAACAAATATTTCGCCATTGTCCTTCCAGTCGTGATATTTTTTTTGATGTATCATACATACGAGTATATATAGGAATTCTATTTTCCACTTGTTACCACGTACATCACTATCGAGCGCGCACCGCGGACCAAAATCCGCCATATGTGCTGCCGCCTCTTGTCACTTAAGTTCTGTTTTTTTTCGAGAACTTTCGCGTACGTCTGTCCTGTCAATTTCCTCGGTAGTTCGGAGGACTTTTGTCTGCCATGTGCGTTACTCGATGCATTTGTAAGCGATGTATTACGGCGGACAAAAGTCTTCCAAGGACAAAAGTCCCTCGTCTGCGCTGGCTATTAATATGACATAGTTAGATATTAAAGTGAAACTTTTGTTACATCGCCACAATTTTTTTGATTCATATTTAGCAAATCGCATTTCATTTTCTTTTTTAAATCAGACCTTTTAGTAGCATCGGTTTAGTGGTAGAAAGCTCGCCTGCTAGGGGTGTCCCGGGTCCAACTCCCAGCCGAGAAGAGCTTTTTTATTAAAGATTTTAAAAGTTTCACTTATATCGTGGTTTCTTAAAACCACATGAATTTCTGTTTTAAACATTACGCTGACGTATGGTACCCAAAAAGGTGGTGCAAACAAATACATTAGCGTAAAAGGGTGTCTATTGATCACCATTTGGTGCGTCGACAGTCGGCAACGGTTGCTGCGACCACACCCGCACTCCCACCGTGCATTGGGGGGACTGCGGTCCTCAGAATGTACGCCGGTTGACCTGTGCAGGAGTATTGTCTAGTGGCCCTGTTCAGGGCGTTAGCTAGGGCCCTCGCTTATTTCACCCGGCCCAAGGGCTAGTTGTAATGAGCAGGGAGGAGTCCTACATACCTCCTTCTCGCTCCCCCGGTGGTTGAAGGATGTGTAAGGCATTTACCAGACAAAAAAAAATGGTCATCCTTTTGGTGAGCCAAGTACGTGGCTTTTTAAGGAAGTGAATATTATCCAAAATGTAATTGTAATCATTTTTTTCAATAAACAATAATTTTATTTTAATTATACGCTGGCGTTATCTATTTCGATCTGTGTCTGTGGGTCAGACTCTAAATATTGGCAAGGGGCCAGAGTAAAACCACGCGGATGTCGTAATGTGCAGCAGCTGGCGTCGACATTATTTACGAGGTTTTGTAAATTGGAAGGTGGCAAACTAAGTTTTGATACAACTCTCAACACAATTAAGATACGGTTTATAGAGCTAGCTTCGGAATACTTCTACTAATAAAGTGTGTTTAACGCTGTACATACAGTACAGAGTTTCGTAAGCTGAATATTCGGGTCATAAATATTATTTGTGCTATCATATCAGGCGCGTTTTTAGCTTTAGCTATTGAGTTAGCAGTAA